CTAATGGATGAATGAGTCATATTTTAGTTTTCATCTGTCATCCTAGGTTAGTAAGAGAAAGAACTTTGGTTTTTTTTTTTTTTTTTTTTTTTTTGCTAGTCTGTGTATCTGAGAATCTTAGATCAAAAATTAGCCACATGAAACAAGGCACGCTAGGGAACAAAACAGTACAGGAGTCCATGGTCAGAACTAGAGGGCTCAACAGGCTTTTGCTTTTGTCTGGAGCTGTGCTATTCCTCTGGGTGCAGGACGGTGACATGCAGTGCTCCCTGACCCTGTGAGGAGGGAGAAGTATCGACTTCCTTAGGGGCAGTATAGATCATGCTACACAATGTGCTGTTGTTCCTTAAGAGAAATAAACAGGTTAGATGGATCAGTGATTAACTGTATTCATGGGCTGGGTCTCGGTATGGTAAATTTAGAAAAGTTTAAAATTCATATTTTAATTTTAGAGCATTATTTTGGGAACACAGTCATTTAGCTTTTTCAGTTGTATTTTGGTCAAAAGATAAAATTTAGCCTGTTGGGGCAAACTAAAGTTTACAATTAGGAAACAAGCTGGGAGATTTACAATTTTCTTTTCTTGTGTTAATTCAAGAGGCAGGGGGGATAAAGTAAAGAGAATTTTCTCTTGTTCATAGTTCGTCCATTGAGCCGGGAAATCACAATGAGCCAAGCATATCAGAACATGTGTGCTGGAATGTTTAAAGTAAGTTGTTGAAACTTAGTTTGAACTCTCTTCATGATTGTTTTCAGGTTATTTCATCTTTACTTTCCACATTACTTGACAGTTACCTTTTATCAAGTCTAGGTATTTTCAACAAGCATTCAAAGCTTTGCCGTGTGTCAGATGCTGTGTCCATCTGTCCTTATTTCATACAGGCCTAGTAAATGCTGAACAGACATTTGACAAATGTCTACAAACATGTAGCACAGGTTATAAGAGAAGAGCTTTTTTCTGACCAGGAAATAATGACAAGGAAAGTTTCATGGAAGGAGGACTTTAGGGTTTGGGGGATTATATGAGGAAGGGGGTGGGCTGCACTTGGAGTGTTGTAAGCAAAAGCAGGCATTCTCAGCAGGTACTGAGGACTAACTGAAGTTGTACTTGGCAATCCAAGAAATGATTTGAAACAATTTACATTAAGATATATAAAGCAAAACGATATTTGAAAGACGACCTCTCTGAATATGCTAGTCAGAAGCGTTTACATAAAGGTTTCAAAGCTGTTGTAAAAGCATGAACCATAGAAGAAAAATGTGCAATCCTGTATTTTTGGGAAAAAAATAATACATTGAATGCTGGAGCTTGAAATTTTTTGTGTAAAGCATAGCACATAAATCAATACCAAGAAGTGAGCTTTTCTCATTTCTGAATTATCAGCCATACATTGGTTTTAGGTATACATATGTCGCTGAGGTTGTTTTCTGTTTTGAATTGATGATGACAATCATGTTTTCATGTTTTGTTTTATTTTTTTCTTTAGACCATGGTAGCATTTGACATGGATGGCAAAGTACGCAAACCCAAGTTTGAGCTCGATAGTGAACAAGTTCGATATGAGCACAGATTTGCTCCCTTCAACAGTGTGATGACCCCGCCGCCTGTGCACTACCTACAGTTCAAGGTGAACCTGCGCACTGAGGTCATTGTATGATCTTTAGTCCTACACATTCTTAGAAATGTGCTGTTTGTACCTAGTCATCTTGTTAAAATACATAGCCAAAATGACTGGGACAGGCAATAAAAATAGCAACTTTAAATAGTGTGAAAACCATTTGCTTTGATGGATATGTTAGTTGCACTAACAGTTACTTAAGTAATAAAATAATGAGGTTGTGTATAAGAATTGAATATTACATAGGGAAAAATAGGAAGATATGCTGAATGTTTGCTTCAGTATCTTTATATGAATGGATAGTGTAGATTTCTGTAACAATTAAAAATATTTCAGAGTTTTTCACAGTTAATGTATTTTGAATAATGTTCTATCTTTTTTTAGGAAATGTCTGACCTTAATAAGTATAGCCCACCTCCTCAGTCTCCAGAACTGTATGTGGCAGCTAGTAAGCACTTTCAGCAGGCAAAAATGATATTGGAAAATATTCCTAACCCAGACCATGAGGTAAGACTGGATTCATTATATTACAATTCAGGTTGGGGTTGGCAGGAAACAGATGTCTGACTAATAGATGAAAGTCAGTTATATAATCAACTTTATAGAGTTAGTTAACAGAGCCTGTCATGTTTTTGCCAAGGATCTCAAATAGTTTGTATCAATTTTGAAAAATGATATGTCTAGTTATTACAGGAACGTTTTCCACTTAAGGTTATTGATTTTAAAGACTTGGAGATACACAAATGAACCTTGAAAATAGCTTTTGATATTTTAATAATTTTCCATATCCTTAGGATTATAGACTGAAATTCAGTTTTTCTACAGATAAGAATTGCCCGTAACACGTATCTGTCACTTTGGATAGTATGTCTTGATACCATTCCATGAAGGGGTCATGTACCAGTGTGTAAAAAAAAAACCCACAGGTGCTTACATTCAGCAGTGCTGCTGCTTTGGCTTTATCTTCTAGATCCATAGGCACACACAGAAAGTGAGGGAAAGTATGAGTACATATATAATCACTACAGCAGGATGTCTAGTGGCAAAAATGAGAGAAGCTTTAGTGTTCATCTGTAGGAGTCTGCTGACTGGACTGGTGTGTTCTTCCATGGGATGTCACATAGTCTTTAGGTCAAGGAAGATCTTTCACACAGTGGAATGCTTTTCAGGACTTAAAAGTTTACAAAGAACGTAGCATACAGTGTGTTTAGTGTACTGCCATTTCAGTTAGAGGGGGACAAAAGATGTGCAAGTGTTTTCTTATGTGAGTGTGTATTTCTAGAAAGATACATTGATCATTGATAAACAATTTGCTTCTTAGAAGGAGAGAGCTGGGTATCTTGAAGAGAAGAGTGAGGCTTTTTTAAAACACATTCCACCACTAAATGAAGTGGTAATATAAATTTGAGAGGGGTACCCTTAATATATGACATAGTTTATCTATTATTGAGTACTGTATTTCCTTTGGCGGGGGTACTGGGGATCAAACTCGGGACCTTGTGCTTGCGAGGTAGGCACTACGACGCTGAGCTATCTCCCCACCCCCCCCCACTATATTGCAAATAGAAAATAAACTAATATGCTAATCCTTACAGGGAGAGATTACGAAGGGATACTAGGGTACAGATGGTAAACAAGTAATTATATTGTATATTAGAAGGATATAATGATATAAAGAAAAATCAAACTGATGTTGGAAATAAATGCTACTGGAAGTGAGAAGTAGGATTTCTTTTGTTTTCTGTGGTGATGCTGGGGATGGAAGCCATGGCTTCGCACATGGTATGCAAGTGCTCTACAACTGGCTAAATCCCAAACCATGGGCATTTTTAAATACAGTGACTGAGAGAATCATAGAAGGCAAAGAAGCAAATCTTCTGAAAGAAGGATAGAAGGCAGAAGTGTTCCTAGAGCATTTAAATTATTATTGTGACTGGAATAGGAAACAAGCAGTTGTGCTATAGGAGGGTTTAAGCAGAGGAGATTTTAGAGGATCACTCTGGCATTGTGCTGAAAATAGATTGCACAAGGATAGAAGGTGGAGTCCAGAGAGTCAATCCTGGAGTAGACTAGCAGTGACTCAGGTGAGAGCTGTGGCAGTGGGGGAGAATCCAGCTTTCTGTATTTTTAAATCCAGTCTGTGGGGCTGTTAGTGGATTAGATGTGGGATGTTAATGGAACACAGGAGACAAGGAGGATTTGAGGGGTTTTGGCATATGTTGCTGGATGTATTGATTCATGTAGGCAAGGCTACCAGTGGAGTAGGAGCAGGGGACCAGGCAGATTGGGATGAGGCTAATTTGAGATGCCCGTTAGACACAGAAATGGAACTGTTACGTAGGCAGCTGGACGTCCACCTGGAAGATAAGAAGGAACTATCAGTTGAGAAGGAACTGATCCTGAACTTGTGTTTTAGAGAGTTCAGCAAGAGTGTACTAGTGGGGACTTGGTAGACTGCTCTGAGAGGGATCCGGCATTCTGTTTTGTTGCTGCTCCTGTGTCCAAGAAAACCTTTTGGATCAGTAGTAATCAAAAGTCATGGTAATCAAAGGATACAAATACCTATAGATACGATTTTTCAGCTCTTACCACAGTCATACATCACTTAAGGACAAGGTTGTATTAAGAAATGCATTGTAGGGCTAGCCAGTTAGGTCAGCGGATTAAAGTGTCTGCAAGCAGGTGTAGGGACTGGGGGTTTGATCCCCAGGCCTGCCATGCTGGACCCACCCCTGGGGCATGCTGAGACAGCGATTGAGAGCAGGTGTGGTGGTGCATGCCTGTAATCACAGCACTTGGGAGGTTGTAAGCAGGAGAATCACTATAAGTCTGATCTAGTAGTGAGACCCTGAAAACTCTGTAGACCCTTACGTAAAATACAGGGGGAAAAAAAAAGAGAGAGAGATGCATTGTAGGCAAAGCTGTTGTTTGAAAATCTTAACACATTTACACAAGTATCCCTTGGGACCACTGTCATATGAGACATGCATCTGCAGTTGACCAGAAGATCACTATACAACACAGTCCTCACAACAGTGCCCTCTGAGTTAAGGGGAGTTGTCTCCATTTTGATTCATATAGGCACGAAGGAGCAGAAGGGTTAGAGAGCTTGGCAGCTAGTCATTGGCAAAACTGTGGTCTGCAAACTCAGCCTAATCCCATTGTCTGTGCTTCAAGCACTGCCTTCTGCTGCCTTCTCAGGATGCAACAGCTAATGCTTCTTTGCAGAACAAGACATAGGAGCCCTTTCCGGCCACAGCTGGCTGAATGGAGGTCTTTGTTAGAAAGTGCTTATCAGGCCGGGGTATATAGCTTAGCAGAGTAAGAGTTTGTCTGGCAAGCACAAGGCCCTGAATCCAATCTCCTGTACCAAAAAAAAAAAAAAAAATGCTTAATATTTTAAATTGCGTTTATTAAATTCAGCACTTCCACTGTGCCAAGTTTCCACTTGTATCTGTAATATAAAGTCAATTTGACTATATGACTTTTCTGTTATGATAATTTAATGTTTGTGTTTTAGGTCAATAGAATTTTAAAAGTTGCCAAGCCCAATTTTGTGGTTATGAAGTTATTGGCAGGAGGACACAAAAAGGAGTCCAAGGTAAGTACACTGTTGGGAAGTGAAATTTTAAATAAAAATTTCAGTGAGATGCACAATTGTTGTAGAAAAAGTTAAAACACTGAACAGATATCATCCTAAAGATTTAGCAGCATTTTCCTGTGAATCATATATTTTATGACTTAAAATGTATCTGCCTCAACTTGGGAAGAAAAATAAAATGTATAGAAACAAATGGACTTTGAAGTATTTAAATGTCACCTAACTTTGGGAAGCTGAATCTCAAAATTAAAGTCTTCTTTTATAGTGGCTCCAAAGATGGAAGTGTGTTTATGTTTTCCTTGGTCATGTGTCTTGAGGGTAACAGCAGCTTGTTAGGTAGCCAACAAGTCCTGCCTTGTGGTGCATGCCAGCCAGGAGGCCAGGAAGCACTTTCCCATTATGTCTAGCCCTGTTGTTTACTCCCATTGTTTTTTCTGTTGTCTGCCATCTTGCCTGCCTTCCTTTACTGAGTCTCATTGTATTTATTATCTGACCTGGAAACTAAAAAATTTGCTGTTCCCTGAAACTTGAGCTTCTTTCTATAGTGTTAGTCCATTTTCCTTTGTAATTGATTCTCTGGATGTAGAAAATAGTATATTTTCTGATGACCTTCATAAGCTCAAAAATAGGTTGGTGGCTTTTTTCCTCCAGGTTAGTTCCTGACTTTTTTTGGTCACTCAGTCATTTTTTGTTTTTGTTGGTTTGTTTGGTTGGTTGGTTGGTGGCTTTTTTTAGACAGGGTCTCACTATGTAGTCCAGGCTGGCTTTGAACTCACTTAGATAACCTAGACTGGTCTTGATCTTGTGGTGATCCTCCTGCCTCTGCCTCCCACGTGCTGGGATTACAGGAATGTGCCATCAAACCTGGCTAAATCAGCTTTTAAATCTCTTTTGTACTGCCTTGTTTCTTTTTTTTTTCTTTTTTTCTTTTTTTTTTT